GTACATGTTAACTATATGATGTACCTCCTAACTTTAACTAGTATTTGTTAACTATACCATGTGCCTATTAACTTTAGCCATAACCTGGTAACTATATCTTTATCCATTAACTTTAGCTAATATATGTTAACCATATCCAATATTAGTTAATAAATACTAGCTAAAGTTAAAAGATAGTGGATATAATTGATACATATTAGCTAAATAGATACTAAATATAGTTAATAGATATTGATTAAAGCTAAAAGGTAATGGTTAAAGTTAACATGTATCGAATATAGTTAACAACCAATGGGTAAACTTAACATTCAATGCTTAAACTTAACAACCAATGTTCAAAATTAATATTTGTTGTACAAACTTAACATTTATACTATAAGCTTAACAAACAATGAGTAAAGTTAACATCATCTAGGTAAAATTCACATCTAATCTTTCATAGTTCATAATCAATTCATACAATTATAAGTTGATGTAGCTTTGATAGTTATATACACAGAACTACATGACAATATGTTTATTATATTTTTTTTGTACATGACCTATTTATTATTACATACTCTCTCTCAATCCACAATCACTTTCTCTATACTATACTCATTTACCTCGAGCTTCAGCCATGACCGCCTAACTCTTAGCGAAACACAAATTTCAAGCAAATGCGAATGATCGTCATTTTATTCTTAAAACTCAAGGAAAAAAGAGAAATATCAAACAAACTCATGCACCTATGATGAAGGAAAGGACCAACGAATAAACAATACTAAAAAATAAAAGTTAGAATTGTAAATTCTTTGTCCCCTCATATTACAAATATGGTTAATACATACATAAACTCTGCAATACTAACTTGCAAATCCTTGACATGAACTAGCTTGAATGCTAACTTTACTTCTCAAGCTCCTTCCTAAACACTTTAATCAAATCCATGCCTAAATCCTCAATCAAATCCATACAAAAATCCAAAATCTTCCCCCTCTAGTGCTCCATGCTTAAAACCCAACCCGAGACCTAAATCCAAACTTGATCCAATAGCTTCTCCTCAAAGCCTATTCTTCCTCCTCCTCCTCCTCCTCCTTTTCCAGCAAACTCATTCTCCATCAACAAACTTCACCTCCCTTACGGTCAGCACTACTTACAACAAGGGTGCCAAGGATATGTTGATGTTAGGGGTTTAGGAAGGGGAAGGAGGATGAGAAGGAGGAAGAGCAGCACCGACACGGGCAATGAAGCTAGGGGAGGAGGATGTGTTTTTTTGATGATGGAAAGAGTAGGAGGAAAAGAGGAGAGGAAGGAGGAGCATCTATGAAGTTGGTTAGGAGAGAGAGAGAGAGAAGGAGATGAGGAGATGAGCGAGGAGTAGCTATGAAGTGGGTTAGGAGATAAAAGAGAAGAGGAGGGAGGGGCAGATGAGATTTTTAGTGGATAGAGAGGGCAAATTTGGAAACTAGGGCAAAATACAATATTTGCAGCCAATATACATTAGAAATAATATGTAGGTCTAGTGCACATCAAGTTTTAATTTTTGAGGCCTAGACACAATTTTTCTTTTTTCTTTTTTGGTTGTTTATTTGTAGCAACTACTACTTTTTATATGTACTAGGTGGAATATACGTGCACTGCACGTGGTCAAATATTATAATTATTTAATTTAAGTTTATTTATTTACTATAACATGGTTGTAAAAAACTTTATAATTATTGTAATATATTAAATTTTTTTGGATATTTTAATGTGTGATTTTAATATTTTATCTTCCAAATAGTGATGTCTAAAGCCTTAAAATATTAATAATTTAAGATTAAATAGTAATTTGAATGTATAGTTTCAAAATATTAATGATGTAAGTGACCAATATGGGAAAAATCTATTATTATTAATAAAAATAAATTCTTGAGTTCATTATGGAAAATGGTAGGTTTTATCTAGTCATTAAGGATTTTGTTCAGTTATAAAAAAAATTACTTCAACCTGTTGTTTTCTTCCACCTGTTGTTTATCTGGTGATTGAATATTATAGATGTTCAAGAAATTTTTTCTAGAATTTTCTAAGTTAGAATGTGCAAATTCAATCAAGAAGAAAATATAAATTATGTGATCAATTCTAAAATCTGATGTTGTACTTTTTTTACATCTTCCCAAATACTAATTGATCTGTCAAAACATTACTCTCTGGTTTTAGAAAATTATAAAATATAGTCTGAGAATGATTTGTACATATTATGCACTCTATTGATTGTATTTTAATAAAATAATTTATATCTATCCAATGTCAAACAACATTCAAAAATTTAGCTTAAGGAGTTAGAAGAATATAATATCTTTAATAATAGTCATATCCAAGCTATGAGCTTCATAAACTTATAAGAATGTGAGCAATATAAAATGACAACTTAATTTACTTTTTCAAATAATTTATTACAAATTATGAAATACAAGGGGAATTAGAATGATCATACACCCATCCCAAATAAATATTAAATTTCTCTTAGAGATTCTTATAGCAAAAGATTTTTAGAGTTAATGTGTAGGATAAATTTAAGGACCGATAATCTAAACCAATTCATTGAGTGATAGACTTGCAATAAACTCCACTCTTATAAAATTGATATCACATGTGCCTTAAGTTGTGCTTTTGTTTAAGAGTTAATTTTAGAAAACTTCCCCTCAAGTATGGAGGGCATGACAGCACCCCCGGCAAAACTAATTAAACCTGAGTAAATCTATGCCAAGTTTTGTAGATAATCTATCTCAACTTAAAATTTTTTGATTTAACTCTAGTGAACTTTTCTCACTTAAACCTAACATCTAAAAACTAACATCATTAAGTCTTATCTATTATGTGACAAGTACTTGACTTGGAAAGACCAAAATATCAATCAATCTTAAAAGAATTACCTTGGCTTTTCCCACATAAAAGAGGTGATATAGAGGAAAAAAAATTATAAATTGGTTGTGATCCTTTTATTTTCGGTTAAGGGTTTCTATTTAATTAAAATTGCTTTTTTCAAGAGGGTATTTTTTCCAAATCACATAACGAAGTAACTATGTTAAGGGAGTTTGTTGATAGAAGTGTAAAAGATTAGGGGAATTATTATGAGATACACTATAGTTGAGAGATATTTTCTAAAATTGTATCAAAATTGAGAGGGGTTATCTATAACACCCTATATAATGAGGGGGTTTTATCAAATTGAATCAGTTGAGTGGATTTTTTAAGACAATCCTCATAATTAAGAGGGTTTTTTAAAAATTAACTATTCTTTTAAATATGGGTTATTTATAATTTGTCCCTCAAAATTTTAATAATTTAATATTAGTTCCTAAAATTATGAGCAATTTTAAAAATTTGTGGGAATAACATAGAATCATTAGATATTTAAAATCAAAGAACTAATATCTAAGTAACATTTTCATATTTACTCTTATAGGCATTCTATTAAATATCGACCAATATATTGGTATATTGGCCAATATATCGGGTTAAAGACTTTATCTTGATAATATTTTATATTATTTTCTTTAGTTTGTTAAATTTTTTGATAAATCAACTGTTATAAAAAATAGACTAATATATCCCTTTGAAGATATCAAGAAAATCATGTTATTTTTTAATTTGATTATGGGCTGGGGTTTGGATCGTGTTTGGGAAATAAAATCAGAACCTGCGAAACCCGCAATGGCCACACTATTTCTCCCAAATCTCTCCACTCTAGGCTCTCCCAAATCTTAAACATATATCTTAATGCAAATTCTTATGTTTAAAATTCATTAATATGTTAGATTATATATTACAATATCATGTTATGTATGAATATTTACTCATATGACACTCAGTCTTACATACATATCCCTAATTTTTGCTACCCGATATCATAGAATTTAGTTTTTCAATATTTATTTGATGTCAAACACTTTGTAGTAGTCCTTCAAAAGCCTCTTCTAAAGAAAAGCATATAATTTCAAGAAATAATTCAAAATCTTGAGACTCATTCAAAATATGATGCTTTAATTTTTCCACATCTCCTCTACTATATAAATATAAGCTAAGCATCTAGCCTCATATTGTATAATGAATATTATTTGTCAATGGGATCATATACAATTGTTTATAGATAACAAATGTTTTAAATCTTTTCTAGGCTTAACTGAACTTAAATACCTTGTAGTTTACCAAAATTATACTTATATACCTCCACTTATATCTTGCTGCACTTTTTTTTAAATTTTAGATAACGTATCTTGATGCGCTTAAATATCCTAATGTTTTCTAAAATTTAATGTTTGTACCTTCTGTCTTGTTACCTAAACATAAGAATACTCTTTGGTACCGTTTGGCAAAGGGTTAAGTGAGGGGTTAAGGAGACTTAACCTCTTCTTAACCTGCCAAACATAACAAATCTATATAAGGGTTAAAGTGAGTTAACCCTCCATAATTTACGAAACATAAAAAATATAGAAGAGTTAAGTTAACCCCTCTAGAGGGGTTACAATGAGTTAACCCCTCAAAATGAGGGGTTTACTAATACTCCTATTTAGATGGAATAAGAGTTAACCCTTCTAATTATAAAGAAAATAGTCAAAATCATTGTTATTCTCAAACACTAAAACTGATGATAAGGGCTAAAATAAAACTTATTTAACGGGTTAATAATTTAGTCCTTCGGATTATCAAGTGGGCTAAGTACATTAATCCTTCTCTTTAACCCCTCTTCATTAACCATTTGCCAAACGGGGCCTTTGTGATTTTCCTATATGAGTTTCATGGTATAATTTTAGGATAATTTTATGTTTTCTATTCTTTCCATAAATAGTTTATTGATATGCAATTATCTATTAATATATTATTATACATTACTAATAAATTATATGATGTAGAGTTTTATAATAACGTTGGAAGTTCTAAGGACCAAATTATGCAAACTTAAAGTGACATAAAATGTAATTAATTAATAATGATAATTAATTTAGTTTAGTTAGTATTAGAATGTAATATCAAAAGAGAATAGGGGTAATATAGCCCGTAGAAAGTTTTTCCACAACTCCCTCTTTTAAAGGGAGTATGATATGATATGATTTATTTACTAGTATTTTTTGGATGGTTTAGTTAAATACTTGATGGCACATCAGAGTTCTTGCTCACCTTTTGGCTCAAAAAAATGTCTGCTAGGATCAATGATTCTTTTACCATATCAACATTAATGTTATTACACTAAAATGAAAAACTAAGGTGAAAATGGATATCATTTAAAAAAAAAAAAAAGAATTGGATAGAATAACATCTTGTCATCTATAATATACGATCAAGAAAATCTAACTTTTTTCTATATTAAGCAAATTATATTATTTACTTACAAAATAAATGGTATTATACGTTCTCAGAGCTTATGAAAAAAATTTGAGGACATTGTAATAGTGAGCAAAGTTTTGTGTAAGGAAGAAAATCTTTGTAATGCAAGAAAAAAATATTGTTGTAGGAAGAAAGTCTTCGTAAAATAAGGGGGAAAAAGCCCAACTTGTGTCTCACATTTATTAGGAAGAAAGTCTTCGTAATGTAAGGGCGAAAAAAGCCTAGCTTGTGTCTCACATTTATCTACACCTTGAGTCTCCATCTAAGGGGAAAAAAAGCTAACTTGTGTCTCACATTTATCTACACCCTGAGTCTCCATCCAACTTCATTATTCAAGTACCTTTGTATCCTTCTATTTCACTTCAAAAACATTGACAACTTGGCACTAAGTGACAAAATATCCAATTTTTATTTATATTTTCAACTATCAACTATCTGTTTTGATCTGTAAATGAATTTGACTACTGAATGTTTCTTCCTTCTTTTCTTGACCATCCAATTCCCTTGACCTCTCCAACTCCACCTGTAAACATTAATTTAGCTTCAATTCTGTTTGACAAAAATCACAACGTTCCCACTCAAATTCTCTTCAAACATCATCACTTCTATCTCTATATATATATTGCACCCCTTCAATGCACATTTCATTCACTAAGCCAAAACCTTAGCCTTCAAAAAATATCCCAATCTCTTCTCTCCTTAATTAATTTTACCCAAAGAAAAGAAAGATGTCGTCGTCGTCGCAGACCATCGAGAGTCACCGCTCAGCTGCAGAGATCTACCATGGGGATGCTGAGTGCAAGAAGAAGATTGTCCAGCTTTTGACAGAGCTCTGCCTTCCAAAGGGCTTGTTCCCTATGGAGGATATCGAAGAATTTGGCTACAATCGTGCATCTGGATTTGTGTGGATAACTCAGAAGAAGAGTAAGAACCACAATTTCAAGAAGGTAAAGCGTCAGGTTTCATATGCGACTGAGGTGACCGCATTAGTTGAGACTCGCAAGATGAAGAAGATGACCGGAGTGAAAACCAAGGAGCTTCTGCTGTGGCTCTCCGTTGTTGAGATGTATTTTGAGACTCCTTCCTCTGAGAAGCTCACCTTCAAGACTGGAACCGGACTCTCTGATAGCTTCGATGCATCAGCTTTTGAACTTGAATGAAAGAGAGAATGAGCAAGGAATTTCTACCCTCTAGTTTGAATATATCTGTGTGCTGTTGTTTTTTACTTTTGAACCCAGTGCTGTTCTTCGTGTTTAATTAATGCTAAATAAGAATTGTTATGTGTAAAATAAATTCTCCCTCCTTGTTGCTTTTGTCCTCTGTTTTAATTATTAAGATCTTAACGTAGGAGCTGTGTCGGTGATCATGAAGTGATTTAAGTATCTAGAAACGTACTTAACTACATCTTCATTCATGAAGTTATTCCATCAAATGTCTTTTTCTCAGTCTTCAAACCACCCAGGATAAATAAAGTTTAAAATTCAGGTTCCTATTTCTTTATTTCTTTTTCAACTGTTTGAACCCTATTTCCTTGACTCTGTCACCTTTCTCTTCTTTTTCCTATATTACTTCTCTAAGTTAGTCACCTTTCTCCTCTTTTTAGCTCTTTATCTTTTCTTCGTATCTTTAAACAATATCCACGGCTCTACCATGTCTCTTTAGGTTTTAACACATATTTTAATAGAAATTGAGTTTGATGTTCTTCAAGAGAGAGAAGTTTCAGATTCAATTTTGATCTTAACCAATCCAAATCAACACCATGTTGGGAGAGTGGATAGCCTTCTCATCAAAGAGTCAGCAGTGTTCACCTACCCCCGTGCTATAGTGTTCACCTATCCCTATGAGAAAACTTATAAATACCCCCCTAAATTTGATTTGTAAGGAATCTTAGTAGTAGAGAGAGAAAAAGAAAGATACAAATATAAGTAATATCATTGAGAGATCTTGAGAGAGTGTTTTTGAGAATTCTTGGAGAGTATCTTGATTAAGAGAGGGTGTTCTTTTATCTTTCTCCTTTATAATCTCGAAAAGAATATAAAGGAATTGGACGTCATTGTTGCACCATGGAGTAGCTCCGTAAGAGTAAAACGCGTTATATCTATGAGTACTGTGATTGAATTCATGTTTGCTTATTTTATTCTGTGATTCCAAGATCGTTTATGTGTGTTTTGCGTTTCCGTTTGAGGCATTCTTGTTGGCATGTATCCTAACAAGTGATATAAGAGCATACGGTTTGAGAAAGACGAAATCTTTCACCATGGCTACTATTGAAGACAATAGACTTCGGATTGAGAAGTTTAATGACCAAAATTTTAGGTATTAGAGGATGCAGATAGAAGACTATTTGTATCAGAAGGATCTCTTCCTACCCCTCCAAGGAGAGGCGGGAAAACCTGAGAAGATGGACGATAACAAGTGGAAGGTGCTCGATCATAAAGCACTTGCCACCATCAGGCTTAACCTTTACCAGCATGAGACTTACAACGTCTCGCATGCGGCCACCACTAAGGAGTTGATGGAGGCCTTGGAGGCGCTGTATGAGAAATCGTCTATCTCAAATAAGGTGTACCTAATAAAGAGGCTATTCAATCTAAAGATGCAACAAGGAGCTTGCGTAGCAGACTTCTTGAATGAATTTCAAGCTGTGGTGCAACAGCTTGCTACAGTGGATCTCAAGTTCGACAATGAGATCCAAGCTCTTTTGATACTTTCTTGTCTACCAGATTCATGGGAGAATATGGTGATGGAGGTGAGCAACGCTAGTAATAATGACAAGATGAAGCTTGACACGGTGATTGGGGGCAATTCTAGATGAAGAATCTCGCCACAAAGTCTTAGGAGCTGAGGCCTCTAGTAGTGGGAGTGCTCTGCATGTCGAGGCACGAGGGCTTGCGCAAAAGAAGGGTAGGGGATGACGAGGCTGATCAAAGTCCAGAGGGAAGTCTAAAGGGATGGACCCGAATGGTTACATTGAAGGGAAGTGCTTCAGATGTGGAAAGAATGGTCACTTTGTACGGGACTACAGAGCTTCTGTTCTAGCATCAGCAGCGGATGATCATGCTGGCGGTGCAGCCAATCTTATGCATGAGATGGATTACAATGCGTTTCTCCTATCTCTTGAAGATAAGAGCGATGCGTGGGTCATCGACTGTGACGCATCTTTCCATGTAACCTCACAATATAAGTTGCTTTCATCGTTCGTGAAGAAGAACTTGGGGATAGTCTATCCTGGTGACGATCAATCTTACAAGGTTTCTAGGAAGGAAAATTGTACCCTCAAGATGGAGGGCGGGACCACCTTGACACTGAACAACATTCGGCATGTATCAGATCTCAGGAGGAATTTTATATCAGTCGGATAACTGATTAACTCCGGTTATAGAGTATCCTTCAGGTAGGAAAGCTAGAAGGTATCCAAGGGTGCCCTGGTGGTAGCACACAGCAAACGCGAAGGGTCTCTTTACATCACCAATGGGAAGATCGACCGCTTGCTTGCCGCAGGACAAGTATCATCATCATCCGGTTATAGAGTATCCTTCGGATAACTGATTGCATGACTTGGCATTAGCGACTTGGCCACATGATCAAGAAGGGGATGCAGATTATGGACGCGGGAGAGAGACTTCTGGGTCTGAGCAAGATTGATCTGACTTTCTGTGAGGATTGTATCCTAGACAAACAGAAGAAGGTAAGCCTCAACAAGACTAGGCCGGCTCCAAAACTACAGAAATTAAAGTTGGTGCATACCGATGTGTGGGGACCTGTCCAAGTCCCATCTATTAGTAACTCTCTTTACTTTGTCTCTTTCATTGATGTCGCTACTAGAAAATCGTGGGTGTTCTTCTTGAAGCACAAGTCATATATTTTCATCATCTTCACGAAGTGGCTTGCCAATGTGGAGAATAAAATAGATAATAAGCTGAAGTATCTAAAGTCTGATAATGAAGGCACGTATTATAGTCAGGAGTTGGAGAACTTCTGCTCGTCCTATGGGATTATAACACTGAAGGCCGTTCCATGCAATCCTTAGCACAACGGAGTGGCAGAGGGTATGAATCGCACTATCTTGGAGCACGCCAGAAGTATGAGGATCCAGTCCGAATTATCCAAGAGTTTTTGGTCTGATGCTGTGAATATTGCTACATACTTGTTCAACCACCGGCCATCCATGACTCTTAATTATGGGATATGTGAAGAGGCTTGGACTGGAAAGAAGCTGAAGCTAGAACACTTATGAGTATTTGGTTGTGACGCCTATGTCATGACCAATCCTACAGACCAGTCAAAGCTTGATCCAAAGTCAAAGAAGCTCTCTTTCATCATCTATGGAGGAGATGAGTATGGGTACTATTTTTGGGATCACGATGCGCTCAAGGTAGTGTGCAGTCGTGACGTCATGTTTCATGAGGATGTGGTGTACAAGACCAAAGAGGTGAGTGGGAGTCAGCTATCTCCCCCTCTTATCCTAAATATTGCTGACAGTGAGGACGACAGTGAGATACCAGTCAGTATAGAAGACGGAGACCAAGAGAACATACTTGATGCACAATAGCAGGATCCAACAGAGTTGCTGATCGCAGTTAACAAAGCTCTAAGAAATTCGAGGGTGCCAGAGAGATATCTTTTCACCGTGAATTATCTTCTCTTAACTGACAGTGGTGGGCCAGAGAGCTATGAGGAGGTACACCAGAGCGGTAAAGCTTGGGCCGAGTGAGATTCTACCATGGAGGAAGAAATGAAATCCTAGACGAATAAAGGGACTTGGGAGCTCGTAAAGCTTACAAGAGGGTGAAAGGCTCTTCACAATCAGTGGATTTATCAGATCAAAGATGAATCTGATGGATGAAGACGCTACAAGGCGAGGCTTGTAGTTAATGGATATGAGCAGAAAGCAGGGATAGACTATTCAGGAGTTTTCGCTCTCGTCGTCAAGTTGACCACGATCCGGATTGTATAGAGCATTGTGGCAGTTCGAGATCTCCATCTAGATCTGATAGATGTGAAGACGACAATCCTTCATGGAGATTTGGAGGAAGAGATCTATATACATCAACCAGTGGGTTTCAAGGAATGAGGCAGGGAGGGCCTCGTGTGTTACCTATGCAAGAGCTTGTATGGCCTGAAGCAAGCTCCGCAACAGTAATACTTGAAGTTCGAGAACTTTATGGAGGAGAACGAGTTTCTCAAATGTGACACAGACCACTTCTGCTTTATTAAGAGGTATGGTGAATCCTATGTGATACTCTTAATTTATGTTGATGACATGTTGATTATAGGGCCCGACTTGCCTCTCATTGAGGAACTCAAGGGGCATCTCTCCGAGTGCTTTGAGATGAAGGATATGGGTCTAACAAACCAGATTCTTAGGATGAGGATGCCCAGAGACAGATCAACATGGAGGTTGATGTTGTCTTAGAAGGCCTATATTAAGAAAGATTCTTGAAAAGTTTGGCATGGAGAAAGCTAAACCGGTGGGCTAGCCGTTTGCGAGCCATTTCAAGTTATCGAAGACCCAAGCACCAGAGACTACTGAATAACATAAGTTCATAGCCAACATATCATACGCATCTGCTGTTGGGAGTTTGATGTATACGATGGTGTGCACGAGGCCAGATATTACACAAGGAGTGGTAGTTGTGAGCCGCTTCATGAGAAATCCAGGGAAGCACCACTAGGGTGCGGTCAAGTAGCTTCTATGCTACTTGAGATGCTTATCCGACCATTGTCTTGAGTATGGCGGGATGGATTTACAGCTAAAGGGCTTTTGTGATGCAGATTACGCCGGGGACATAGAATCAAGAAGCAGCACAAGCGGTTACATCTTCATCTTGGGTGGTGGAGTGATAAGTCAGAGATCCAAGTTACAAGATACTGTGGCTATGTCGTCAACCGAAGCCGAGTACATTTCTACAGCAGAGGTAGTAGATAAGTTGCTATGGTTGAAACTTTTCTTCTCGAGCTTGGGGTAAGCTTCGAAAAATACTTCATCCACTGTGACAGTTAGAGTACAATTCACTTGTTAGAGAATGACACATTTCATGCTCAGACCAAGCATGTTGACGTGAAGCATCATATCATACGGAGATGACAAAGTAGAAACAAGTTCAAGCTTGTAAAGATTGATATGAGGTACAATCTAGCCGATATGCTAACCAAGCCAGTTTTGCTCGAGAAGGTGAGGTTATGAGCAGCCTCATATGGCCTCTGTTGAGAAAGTTAAGGGCTGTGTAAGACGCCAAAGATATAAGACATCTGGATGATACAACCAAGAAACAGAGTTCGTTGAGAATAATCTCCAAGTGGGAGATTGTTGA